CTGCCTTTCATGACAGTCATGTGAATGCTTTTCCAATCTAAGGACATGTCATCGTTTGTAGGAAATCAGTTTTCTTGTGGACAAAGGATGCCACGCAGACCCACACGAGCTGGACTCCTCGGCCATGCGAGCAAGCCCTGTCTTGGGCGTTTCTGTCCCCGAAGACTCTTAGCTTGGTGGTGACAGCGTGCCACACTCTGTGGAGTGCAGTATAACGTGGCGGCAGTGGGAAGCGGCCGGCCACTGCCGTGGTGCTGTGTCCACTGGGAGCCAGGCCCGGTGCCCGGCTTGCGCTTGGACAGCCTGGTAACCTGTGTTCTCCTGTTTGTTCCTCCTGCTCACTGAATGACTTTCCATGTGTTGTTGCAGACATCTCAACAGTGAGCACGCGCTGGACGACAGAAGTACAGCCCAGTGTAGAGTCCAGATGCAGGTGGTGCAGCAGTTAGAGCTACAGGTAAAGCCCCTTTATTTCTAACCTTCCCTTGGTGTTCTGCAATGGGTTCCTGTGTGCTCGGTACTCAAAGTCCGAAGCCTGTGGTCGTCCTTTATTATTGTTTTTTAACTCTTTGGCACATTCAGCCTGGGAACTGCTACCCTGACATCTGGTCGCCCCCAGGCCGTGTGTGTGTGTGCAGCCAGTTCATGGCCACCACCTCAGCTTTTCCATCTCTCCCCCATTCTCCCTCCCTTTTCTCGCCTCGTTTTCCTTTCTGGTTACCTATTGCTGAACTAATTCCCTCAAGTTGCTACTGCTGTTAAAGTGCAGTTTGGGGAGAGGAGTGTGGGCCCAGGGAGGTGTGTTGTGCCATGTCGGAGTGGAAGGCATATGAGGGTCATTTCTCCTCCTACGTGGCACCCGTTTCTCTCCACCACTGAGAACCACTGAGTGCTGACGGCACACATTGAAAATATACACATAGAGCTGGGCACGGTGGCGCACCCCTGTAGTCTTAGCACCTTGGGAGGCTGAGGCAGGAGGACCACAAATTCAAGGGAAGCCTCAGCAACTTAGGCAGACCCTGTCTCAAAAAGTGAAAAGGTCTAGGGGTGTAGCTCAGTGGCAGAGCACCCCCTAGTTAATTTCCTATTGCCAAAATAGACATATTCACATATATGTGAATAAAATGTGCATAAATACTTGTATCTGTTTACACATTTATGTGCATATATACTTGTATCTATTTACACATGGTATGATTTGGTGTTTAGAAAGCCATTGTGCCATGTTGGACCTATTTCATGACTCGTTCACATTTTCCTAGGCATGAGAGATGGGGGCATTCCTAAAGGGGGTTCCACCGCCTGGTACAGCTTGTTGATAAAATACCATATTTGAACAGTAATCCCATTCTTGGCATAATTAATAGAAAATTAGTTTCTAGAAGTAAAAATTGGGTCAGAAATAGAGATTATTAAAATGTACAGTTACAGAAGCCTGACCCTGTAAACCCCATTTATGCAACCAAGTTCCAGAGCGCTTTTGAGTACCCGTGACTCCGCGGCTTCTTCCTCTGGCTGGTGCCGAGTGGGCGAGAGGTTAGTCAACGAGGCGAAATTAAAACAGCACTGCACGTTACGTGGGTACCAGCCATCGGAAACCTATTTTGTATGCAAGGCAGCAATGCCGAGATATATGGAGAGCCCTCGGCTAAGTACAGGAGATAATTACATTTGGAATTTCACCGAGTTAAGTCATTTACAGCTTCAAATAGTTGCAGAGAAAAATCAGCCCAAACACCACTTAAACTTTTTGTTGTAAGTTTTCTGGATAGAAAGAATCTTTTTTTTTTTTTTTTTTTTTAAATTAGCTCTCATCTTATATGACAAATTCTGTTTTGTTAGTAGGATTTCTCAAAAGTTATTTTCTAGAGCTAGTTAATGTTGTCCATTCTAACGACACACAGAAACTTAGCAGAACAGTAAGATATTTATCCAGGCAAAGGTCACATCAAAAAAATCCCCAATTTTTGTATGTCTTTGGAAATATCCTTAAACCTAACCTGTTGTGAAGGAAAAAAACGTGATAGATTTAGCACCCCCCCAAGTTTATGTAAAGCACCCTATTCCTGTGAAAACCCGGGTTCCACAGTATGCATGCTCGGGCGCTGCGGTCTGCATGTGTGTGTGGGTCTGGTATTTATGAAGTAATGCCCATTGCTGGATAAAATCACCTTCCTGATGGCGGGCTCCGAGCCCTTGTTCTGGGTGGCCCAGGACTGCATGCTGCAGAATGCTCAGGGCAAGGTGGAGGGGTTGTGAGTCACCCAGGAACTGCGCATCTGCTTTACTAATTGTACACTCTGTACCGACAGAGGTCAGGGGGAGGGAGACCCTCCGCCAGCCAGGCCATCTCTCCTGGCCATGGGACCATGGGTTTCGGTGGGCGTGGCAAGATAAACGGACAGCAGTCTTGGGTAGCTGCAGATTTCACGTATGCATAGATTTCTTTTCGTGCTAAGGCTTTAGGTCAAAGTGAAGATCAGGTTTTCAACTTGTGATGGAAAGCAAGCTGCGATGGCAAGAAAGTGTGCTGTTGTGGTCACCTGCGATGGCCGCATCCCAGGCTGGGCTTCCGTGGAGGGAGGGACAGGCTCTTTTGGACAGGGCTGCTCATGCAGGGCCTGAAGGATTATTAGATGGTGGCCTAGTGCTTGTCAGCAGCAGGCAGATTTCTCAGGCCTGATCCCAGAGGCTGAGGAAGGTTTTGACATTTTAAATAGGAGACCAAAACCAAAGGGTACCACTGCAGAACAGGTGAAAATGCCCCGAGGTCCGTATCTCGGTGCCAGCTCCAGAGGCTGTCCAGAGCCAGCCGTGCTGGGATCACCTGTGCACCACCACAGCAGTGCCAAGTAACTGGCAGATCCCTGGTTCTTAGGTGAGATGGCGAAGCAGCCCGTGGCCAAGGGTGAGGGGAATCGAGTGGCATTACGCTGTTAGCCCCTCGGGCCTGCGTTCCCGGCTGCCTGGATTGTGCACGCCTCCTGTCCTCCCCTCCCACCCCTTCCTTCCTGGCCAAGGTGGAAAAGCCTGTGCTGTCCCCAAGTGGGTCAGGGCACCTCCTAGGCTGCACGAGGGCTCGCCAGCCTCGGAGGTCACGAGAGCCTTGCTGAGGGTGTTCCCTCACTGGTACTTTCTCACTCAGCAAGTGGTAGGCAGAACCCCCACCCTGCGCCATCTCGGCTGCGCCTCCGTGGGGTCCAGTAGTGCTGACAGCAGGCAGGACGGCCCCTGCGTTCCATCCTCCAGAAGCGACAGGAGACCACAAAGTTCTGGTAATTCTCCAGCAGAGCCACCCACCATTCGATGGTGCTAGCTGACGCTAACACGTTCTTGAAAGTGCCAGACGTTTACCCAGAAGAGGGTCTTGATGTTACAAAGAGGTCACACGATAACAGATTTTGCCCGTCCGTTACTCAGTCAGCTGACACAGAGAAGAAAGGCCAGCAGTTTTAGTCTGTAACCCTCTTGAGCTCCGTCGAGCTCTATCCAGGCCTCGCTTGAGGGTCTGGGGTGCATCCTAGTGCTGCAGGGGACCCTGGGACAAGGCTTCCTCCATGTCAGTATGGTCACACTTGCCACTTCTCAGGCTGGTGTCGGGAAGTGCACTTCTGAATGGACCCTCGACTGACAGTCCTGGTGCCTGTGGAGGCTGAGAACAGGGAATGAGGCCCCTGCTCCAGCAGGAACACGGGAGCAGACACATTTATGCATGGAGAGTGGCCTTTGCAGGTGCCCTTTCCCAGGGCACTGTCCCCCATCCTCACATCGCAGGCTGGGGTTCACCTGCCCTAGAGGGAGTGCCCTCTGCCTGCCTGGCCCAAGGGCTACTTCTTTTCCATTAGAGAAGTGTACCCCAGTCCAGGAAACTTCCTGAACCTGCAGGCATCTCAGAGGAGGCTGCAGAATCCGCATGGAGTAACTTGAATTTGAGAACCGTTGGTACCATTGAGCCCTACAGGGGAGAGGCGTCCCCCAAGGGTGGTGGCTGGGCCGGAGCAGGAGGAGAGCTCTGAAGCGGCAGGCCCACAGGGCCTCTGTCCACACAGCAGCCCTTGAGCCTGGAGCACTGGACCAGATCTTCCAGCGTGCAGTGATGGAGGCTCCTTAGGTCTAAACTAGAGGATCACAGTAAAGGACCAACAGGAGGCTTCAGAGGGCAGATTCAGGTCCAGCAGTGACCGTCGCCAGTGGAGGCCACTTGAGCCCTGGGCTGCGTACCTGTGCAGGCCCTGGCATCTGAACCCCAGAAAATTCCTCTTACCCATAAGAGACGGCCCTTTGTGTCTCATCAGTGATGTCCCTCACTCTCAGGGGACAGTGGCTAGAGACGCTTCCCTTCACAGAGCTGCCGATAGGCTCCTGTGCATGAATCAAACCAAAAGCAGGACTTTTTGAGGTCAGAGAGTACAGTGTAAGATTTCATCTCTTGAATGTCCCCTTGACAGATTCTTCCGGAATGTTGTACAAAGGGGTGCGTTAGAAGTGGGGCAGCGTTCTCACATGGTCTCGTGCAGGTGCATTCATGAGTCAGCCTTTTGTGTTCTCGGGGGGCTTTCCACTTGGAGGCAAGGAAGCGTCCTGTTCAGCAGCCAGCAGCCAGCCAGGACCTGCCTCTCTCGGAAAACAAGGCATTGCTAGCGTAGCTGCCTTTTCCTGACGAGCGATGGGTTTCCCTGTGTCCCAGGACTGCGCCATGGGGTCAGATTGTCCTGAGTCCTGGGGTGGGGTGTCTTTGGCATGCAGGGATAGAGAGGACTGGGAGATGAGGCAGAGCCTGAGGGCTCAGGACAGTGTCCTGCAGCCCCGTCACCGAGAGACCCTCTGAGATGGGTATTAACTCAGCAAGAGACGGCGGCAACCCAGCGGGGACCGCACCACTGCCTGTGGACGGGTAGGAGTTAGATGTGTGGCTTCTGCTGCTTAACACATGATTGAGGGAGCACTGTGGTGATCAAAGCCCTGGGTGCCGCTTCCTCGCCAGGGACCAGCCTCCACCACTGCACCAGGCCAGGTTCCTAAGAGAGAGGGAGACTTTGACAAGGACAGTCTGGCCAAGGGCCCTGGAGGACTGAGTCAGATTGTAGGGTGAGGGAGAAGGACGGTGCTTGACTTCCTGAAATCCGTGTGTCTGTTCCAAACGAGACGGGCTGACCAGAGGTCTGCTTGGCTGGGAACGAGAATTTTGAGACCTGGGGTTTTCAGTTTAAAAGCTGAAGAGCGTCTTGGGCAAGCTGGGGACAAGAGCGCTTGAGTGCCCCTCGTTCCGCTCATGATCATTTCAGAGGAGCTCTGGGACCACTCTTCCCTGAGCTGCTGTCTGCCAAGACACTGTCCCCAGCTCCATCACATCCTCGCCTTCCCTATGAGCAGCGCTCACCCTCTTCCCTTGGTTCTCAGTCACTGTTTAAAGAAAAACGGGAGGTCAGGGATTAGCCTGTGTCTTGCCTCTAGTGAGCACGTGTGGTGTCATGCTGCTGCTGTGTTGGAAAAGGCGGGAGTCACCCCGTGGTGAGGGTGGCCACCACCAGCCTCTTAGATCCCAGGAGACAATTTCCGTGCCCACTCCTCCTGGAGGAGCACCCTGAGGCAGAGGCAGTCAGAGTCACTTGCTCCAAGCCAGCGTTAAATACTGAGCCAAGCCTGGGAGGGCCACGCGGCCTGGCAGCCCGAGCCCTTCCTCTTGCCCAGGGGTCCCCGTGGCCCTTGGGGCTCTGTGCTTATGCCGTGAGCTGCCGATGCTGGTTTTAAAACCTGGCTGGCTTGTGGGTGGCGGCCCTTCTGCTTCCCAGAGTCTCCTGTGGAGCCCGGCCAGGTCCCCGGCCAGGTCCCACCTGCACGAGGCACTGAGAGCTCTGAGAAGGTGCGGCAGGGAGGGACGTGCAGGGCTGCCCTGGCGGGTGTGGACCGAGTCCCGCACCACGCATTGCTCGATGCACTCTGCCGGCCATGGGGTCCCCGTTAGCGGAGTGGCTCGTCCTCACCCCGCTTCAGGCCTCTCTGACCCCCTGAGCCAGCTCCCAGAGCGAGCTGGGGACAGAGTGCCCAACAGTGGTACAGCCCCGCACGGCCACCGCTTTGCAGCTGGGACCAAGGAGGAGAAGAGAGGGAGTCCAGGTTGCTCCCTTCCTCGTCCCTTGCACACCAAGGTGCTGATGTGTCATGACTTAGAACCCTGCCTGACTCCGGGAGCACTGGGATTCCTAGACTGCGACTGACTGTTGGTGTGCGTCTGCTTCAAGTGTCAGCAGAGCCTTTACGAACAGCTCGTGAGGAATGCTGAGACGGGACGGGGCGCGGGGACGGGGAGGGCCTGTGGCCGGGTGACACGAGCCATGGACTGCCCGCCACCAGCGCCTGTGGCTAAGGAGTCTTGACAGGTTGTCCCCGGAGCTGAGCTCAGTGGGCACTAGAGCTGCCCGGAGTGGGAAGAAGAACAGCGGCTCAGCCAGTGCCAGGTTTGCCAGCAGGACTTGGGTTCTGTTCCTCCCAGGGGTCAGGTATGTGTGTGCGTGTAGTGTGTGAATGTGTGCGGGGTGTGTGTGCATGTGTAGAGGGTGGGCGTTGTGCATGTGTAGAATGTGTACGTGTGTGTGTGCGTGTGTAGAATGTGTATGGTGTGTGTAGTATGTGTATAGTATGTAGTGTGTGCATAATGTGTATAGTGTGTAGTGTGTGTATGCATGTAGAGTACGTGTGCGTGGCAGAGGGCACTGTCTCCCAGACTTGCCTGGTTCCCTGCACACGTGGAGGCCTTGTTCCAACGAGACCACCTGCTTGCAGATGTGGAAGCGTGGGCTTGGCAGGGCAGGGTGGTGTCTGCTGACTTTGCACGCCTGCTCTGGAGGCCCAGCAGCGGAGACCAGCTCAGGGGTGAGGGGCAGAGGCAGAGGCAATAGAAAACTCAGGTGATCCCTGTGATCCCATCGGACCAAGCCCACAGTGCCCGCCGGGACCCTGGTCTTGTTTCTGCCCCCTGCTGTCTGCACGCCCTCAGATGGTTTTGCCTGTGGCCTCAGTTTCCCCAGGACTGGAGGACCTCAAGTGGCCAACCAGGCCTCACCTCTGTTGAGTGGAGTGACCGGCCTGGCCCTCACTGTCCTCTGTTGAGATGTCGGCACCACTGGACACAGACCAAGCCCCGCTCTTGCTGTAGCAGTTTTGTTTCCCTGCTCTGCTAAGGGACCGCAGAATGTCCTTGGTCTTCTCTTGCAGCTCTGCAGAGGTGATCCGAGGCCACACTAACAGGATGCTGCAAGAGCCAAGGGGGATTGCCTGCAAGGAAGGGCTTTATCTTTCCGTCCCCTAAAACCCGAAAATCATTCCTCTTCCCGGCTACCCTGCTCCATTGAACCCCTGTTGTGTGGACCCAGATTCCAAACACACACTCGGCCAGTGGAGACTCATGTAATTGTGCCTGAATTCTGAGTATTCACGAGGCTCCAGCCCCTGGCCTACACAGGGCGCGTCTCCTCTCCAGAGTGACCCCTCAGAGCCCGGATGGCCATTCCACACAAAGGAGAATGGACAGCGGAGCACGGGTCAGAGCCACAGGTGACCACCCCCCGCGAGCAGCTCCGCCTGCCGTGACCATGGTGGTTCTTGTCTGCCACCCGCCTGTTCTGGCCCACCCGTTCTCATCTTGGTGTCACAGCGTCAACATTTCTTGTTCACTTGCTGGAGCTTGAGTCGGCCTCTGGCCTGCACCAGCCGCCGCCTCTCCCTGCCCTTCCTGGGGCTCCTCGCGGTTCAGAGGGAGCTGGAGTCTGCGGGCCGAGCCGAGTGTCTGTGTCTCTATTCTAGGAGGAGAGGGTGTGGGAGGGCTGACGGGCAGCAAGGCCCAGGGGTGATGCGTTCAAGCCGTAGGGGACACGGACGCCTGTGAAGGACCAGCCAGCGCCACGAGGGCCCTGCGGCTCCTGCAGAGCAAGATGTGGTTCCTCGAGTGTGAACGTGTTGCCTTTTTGCCCTAAAACACAAAGCCAGTCTGGTGGGTTTCTTTTCCTAATGGTTGGAACAGTTTGTTGGGGGCGACCGTTGACCGAGCCCCGAGCCTGTCTGGGGAGTGGTCCGGGTGGGTTTGCGCTGACCCCAACACAAGCTGCAGTCAGTTCTTCCTTGTTACAGGACCTTCCCTGGGATGCTGAGCCGAGGCTCCTAGGAGCTCGCCACACGGGTTCTTCCATGTCCCCCTTCCTGTGGCTGTCACCTGTGGGGTTGTGCGTGTGCTGTGGACACGTGTCCAAGGGCTGTCTCTCCAGTACAGTGTGAGGTTGGGGTAGGCCAGCAAAAGCCCAGCCGGGCAGACATTTGGTGGACTGGTTCCTTTTGATGTGGGAAGCTTCGGTGTTCCTTTTATCGGACTTGGTTTCTGTGATTGCTGCACTAACAATGTCACTCCCAAATTAAGTCATATTCAGCAGAGTCTTGAGTAAGCAGTACCTCTGACCCTTTAATTCGGGTTGTGCAGCATGGCCAGCTCCTTCTTGTTTTTAAAAAGAGCAACCTAGCTGGGCCCGGTGGAGCACGCCTGTAATCCCAGCAGCTTGGGAGGCTGAGGCAGGAGGATCACAAGTTCAAAACCAGCCTCGGCAACAGCCAGGCGCCGAGCAACTCCGTGAGATCCTGTCTCTAAATAAAATATAATAAAAGGGCTTGGGGTTCAATCCCCCCAATCAAAAAATGAAGAGGGCTCCAGAGATGCTTCATAGTCCTCCTGCCCCGTGACGATTTTAAAACCAAGCAGTTTTTCTTTTTTAATCTAAGAATTTTTTCTTAGTTTTAATATAAAAAAATAGCTTACGAGACTTCACATAAAAAAAAAAATAAGTAAGTAACTGCACAAAAATGCCATTCCCAACATTTTAATTGTTCCAACTGAGTCGCTTTGGGAAACTGAATTCCTTCAGCATTATGTGTTCAGGGCTCCCTGAGTTCGGCTGTTCGATAACTCGCTAAAGAGCAGGATGAATAACATAAAGTGACTCCTAATATGGAATCATTTTCATTTCCTGTTTGTTGAAAGATAAATGCTAACACTGTAAGGCTTTTTTTCTTCTTCTTCTTAATTTATTCCTCCCTGAGCCACAAGGGAATAAAGAGAAAGAAAAAAATCAAAAGCGATATGGTTTGCGACTGAGTCATCCAGCCAGGACGAGCCCGTGGTGCTCTGCTCCTTTTGTACCCTACCTCTTTTCCGTCTGCCCCCATGCCCGAGCCCCTCTCCCCGCAGACAGTCACTTCCCTACAAAAGTGAAGCATTTTCAATTTTGGAATAATTGTCATCTTGCAAAAATTGCTTTCAAAAGGATGTAAGGTGAATTATGTCACATAGAAGGAATGAGCCCCTTCGCATTGCTAAGGTATTATTTTGGACAAATGGTGTAGAAAAGTATTGAAATAAAACTATATGTAGATTCTTTCTCATTCTCTCTCCCCCTCTCCCCTCCCGCTCTCCCTTGCTCTCATTAATCTCTCCTGTATTTTCACTGAGGCTCTCTGCTGTTCTTTTAAATATACCTTTTACCTTTGAGGGGATGTATCTCCCACTTTTTAAACCAAAGTTGTCACTGTCTATTCCCTGTGCCCAACTGTCTTGAGTCATCAAAGTCGTTGAGTTAAAACAGTCCAAGCACAAAGGTCGTAGCACCCAATAAGTAGGAAGCCAGTACCTGCTCTATGCATCCAATCAGAAATGTCTCCTGACATCAGAAGACCACTTTCACAGAATGAAGAGACTCGGATCACGATAATGGCGGGTCCCCACTTGGACATGTGTGTGAGCTCACTCTGTCCCCGTGGGGGTGGGAACCGTATGGCAGGTCCCCACGTGAATACGTGAATGGGCTCACTGTGTCCTGGTGGGGATGGGAACTGTCCACCAGACTTCTGACCCTGCTTCTCTCTGCTGACGTCACCCGCCAGCACCATCTTACTCTGTGCTACCTGTGAAGAAAGGTGAGCCTCAGTCTGCACAGATGTATCCATCTGTCTGGGTTTCTCCACGACCCCAACAGGTGGGTCTACGAGTCGTAGCTGCCTCACTCACCATCCTCTGAGTCAGGCTGGTTAATAGGCATGATTCACCTGTGTCTTTACCTGGGCCTGCTCCACGGGCCTCCTTGGTGCCTGCAGGTCTGGAACTTCCCAGTTCAAGGCTAATGCATCTGGTCTTGAGAAGTCTCACAGTCACACCTCCGGTTCCTGGGTGTTTGGCAATGTGTCTATGAATTCCAAAAATGAAGAGGCCACGCACAAGGTTTTCTCATACTTCGTGGAGCCATAGTTACATGGAATGTGTGTGATTTAGTAAAACAGTCATGCATGTGTATTCACAGAGATAACGACCCCTTTTCTTCCTACTAGCTTGCTAAAGACAAAGAACGCCTCCAGGCCATGATGACCCACCTGCATGTGAAGTCTACGGAACCCAAAGCCGCCCCTCAGCCCGTAAGTACTGGCGGACATCAAGGGGGCCATGACACTGAGTGGTCCTCTTCTGCCTCCTGTCCAGGTGTGGGGAGGGGGACAGCCCTGCAGGGGCAGGTTTTCGTGCGGAGCGTTTCTGGTGCCCATTCCTGGTGAGGGCAGTGTGCCGGGCATCTGGGGAGACACAGGACGAGTCAGACATGGTCCTTGCCCATGAGGCCCAAGCTACCAGCTCTTGTTTGGAGCAGAGTCATCTTCGCTGAACCCTGGTACTGAAACGCATTCTGAGTGCTTGCCAGGGGCGGGACCATGACATCAGAAGGAAGAGGCATCTAGGCCAGGCAGGGCCAGGGACAGTGTTGTGTTAGTACAGGGGCAGGAAGAGTCCAGCCCAAGTGACGGTCAAGCGGAAAGGACCCTGTCGGGCTGCTGCAGCCCGCGTGATGGAGATGCCCGGTGCACCCGGCACCCGGCGGGGGTGAGCCCCATGCAGGCAGGACCAGGGTTCTCCTAGCCCTTGGTTCCCTGTAGAAGGCCTTGAAGGGTGCCATCGCAGCATGAGCGGTGAACACCCAAGTGCGAGGATGATGCCCAAGTGCAGATCCTGCCTGGGACCTTGCTCCTTGGAATGAGCTCTCTTGAGCGGGTGTCTCTCTCACACGCATGTTCCTAAAAACCTCCCGGTAGCTTCAACTGATTATTCAAAATGGAGACAGTGCTTTGCCTCTTGATTTTAAGATTTGTAAAATTTAAAGGTACACTGCCTTTATTTGATTTTGCTGGGAGTCACTGTGTGAAAATTAATTGAGCGTTGACAATCTATAGTTAGTACCAGCAATTTTAATCAATATGCAATGATGCAGCATAATGGCAAAGTATTGGTTTATCTGTTTTGACTGATTTTTTTCTATAAATAAAGCAAACACACACCCATATATGTATGATTTATGGTGATAGAAATAAAACGGAGTCAGACTATTAACCCAGCAAATATGGTAGCCTGCCAAGATGCAGTTGGCAGACAAAATTAATGTCTGAAACAGAGCACATTACTGAGATATAGGACATAAAATCATTAACCACTCTGCGCATCCATTTTTACTAGGAGAGAGTCGTTAGTCCGTGTACTTCCCTGGGATGGCTGTAGGACTGGACGGGCAGGTTACCACCAGGAAGGAAGGAACCACGCCTTCGGCTCTGCCGCTTCCCCAGCCCCTTCTTCTGAGGAGGGTTCTGGGAAGAGTGGAGCCTGCAGTGGCATGGCTGGGGACCCAGGGCACCCACTGTCTCGAGCCCTCGGGAGGCCTAGAGATGGCTCCAGTGGAAGTTCTCCCAACGCAAAGGCCTTGAGGCTCTGCACTCGCTGCAGGGGAAGAAGGGGTTAGTGTCTTCTTCCTCCCTGGATTCGGGTCGGTTTGACGCAGCACCGAGGAGAGGACTTGTTGGGTATCACAGGGCTGTTTGGCAGGAGGTGGGATCTGTCCACAGAGAGGAAGGGCAAGCCCGCATGGGCGCCATATAGGTGAAGCCCACGCCAGCTTAGAGGACCCTTGGGAATGGCCCCAGGGACCGTGTTAAGCCTCCTGTAAACAGGGAAAAGCAGCAGTGGGGGTGGGTGAACAGGAAAGGATGGTTTGCCTTGATTAGTGTTAAAAAAAAAAAAATGTTTTACATTCTAGAAAATTATAACTTTGAAGGGGACCTCCTACTAAATTTATTTTTAACTGCTCTATTGAAAATTCTCTACCCCTAGTCAACATTATCTCTCAGTAGCTCAGCACAGTATTTCTTTATTAAAAGAAATAGGCACGAATATTTTTGACTGAAAAATTAATAGCTTTTGAATTCATACACAGCAGGTTTTCTTTTGCAAAGAAGTCCAATATCGCCGCACAGCACTTCTATAACCATTTATTTAGAGTCCAAGTCAAACCTTTGACAGCTAGCACAGCTCTACAAGGCAGGATAAAGAGCCCCGAGATGTAAACCAACAATGGCCGTCTGTGTGAGGCTCGCCATTGTCAAATACATAGATTGTTTGGATTAGTTTATGTAAATGTACTGTTGTATTACCCTTTGGGAAAAAAAAGATCACATTTGTGTATGAAAAGTGGTTCCCTTCACAGGCTGCTTTATAAATCCCTTATCCTTTAACTTGCATGTAAGAAGTGAAATCGGTGCCTGGCAAGCAGATACTGTGTCACACACTCTGCCGTCCGAAAGAACCTGCCTTCTTTTCATTTATTGGAAAATAGAAAATTTTATTATAGATACCATCTTATAAATCAGGAATTATTAAAATATGTATAGGTGAGGCATTGGGAAATTAATTATAGAAGATAGACGTGTGATGTTTTGCATAAATTTTCACTTCCTTGCCAAGAAGAGCGCGGAGGGAAGGGCACAGCACACACGCCCTTGGCACTGGCGACTCTGGGGGCCCAGCGCTGTGTGGCCACCCATCTTCACGTGCCAAGTGTCCCCACTGGCAGGTAATTAATTTGTCGGGCCTGGTGTTGGAGCCTGGTGTGAGTTTGGGCGCCGGGCTCGTGCCGAGGTGAGCCGCGGGGAGTGGCGGTGTGGCCCTGCCATAGGTTCCGTTCCTGTGGAAGAGCAGCTGTGTGTTTCTTTAAGACTCCTTAGTCACCGAGTGACAGAACGCCTTGCTGTAAGTGCTGCCCGCACTGGGTGCCGCGGGGTGGCGAGTCTCTCTGCTTGTCCCCAGTTGTCCCGGCTGTCCCTGCCCTTCTTGGACTGCTCTGAGGTCAGCTGGGATGCACTGTCTGAATCCCAGGGTGGAGGTTCTTGGATCCAGGTGGCTAGAGAGGTGCTGACCACAGGGCAGTGGCCATGGTGGCGTGGATCTGAGCGGGAGCCCCCTGGGAAGAGAGCCGCGGCCATGGCCATGCCAGTGCCCTGTCTTGGTGTCCCTTTCCTCTCAGGACTGCCCAGGACTCGAGGGTGGCTGTCTTCCAGGGGCATGTCTGCATGGGAGGGAAAGCTCCTCTTCCAGCAGATATTGACGGGGCAGGGAAGGCAATGGCCGCTTGCCCTCGGTGTCCAGGTTCAGTGCTGCCTGAGAGCCTGAAAGGTGGACGGGTAGAGACCTCTGGGAGGGGAGGTGCGCAGGCAGAGGGGGAGGCGGGGTTCCTCCTGGGATGAAGGCTTGCTAGCGTGTGGCCGCGTCCTCGGGGTGCACGCTGGGAGGGGAGGCGCTCCCTGCTCTCGGGTTGCTCCTGCGTGGAAAAGGGTGGAGAATCCCTGGGGGTGGCCGCAGGCTCTCAGGCTGGGCACCCGGGGGTGGCGAAGGGCCACCTTAGTGCAGTGTGGATGTTTTAAAGGACCTTCCCTTCCCAGAGAAGGCGGAGCTGTGGCCAGAGCCCTGAGGAAGTTTCAACCTGTCGGTTAGGGCTTGATGAAGTTGTTACGGATTTCTTTAAGAAGACCTTTTGCTGTCATTGTGGCAGGGAACACCATAAATCCGGTTTTATAACCTGGGACAGAGCAGTGTGCCCTGCAGAGCTGCGCCCGAGGGCCCCCCCCCAGGTGGGGAGCAGCATTCTCTCAGATTGGGTGGGCGAGGGACACCGTGCTGTTGGCAGGGCCTTCCCCTCGGAACTGCCGAGAAGCAGGCCCGGTGACGTTTTTTGTTACCCATTTACTTTAGCCACAGCAGTTGGGGCTGTTTGGAAATGGCTTTTAGCTACTATAAAAACTAAAGTACCCCCTCCCCACCAAGCAAAGGGCCAGCACACCCTGGGGGAGCGGCAGGTGGCACGGGCTGCCGTCCTGGGCTCTGCGGCTCCATGCTGCTGTGTGGACTGTGTCCATCCAGGCCCTGCCCGCTCACTCGGGCCTGCGAGTCTTGGTTGTGTGTCCTGCTTGCTGCACCGTAGCAGGCCTCTGCCAGGGGAGGGCAGCGAAGGCTCTGGACAGCCAGCAGCTGCCCCCGTGCCCTGCCGCCTGGCCTGGCACCATTGGGCTCCGATTCAGTGACTCCTGCCTGCAGACCTCACTGCTGTTCAGGCAGGATTCGGCCAGTGGAACCAAGGGTCCCCAGTGTGCGCGTCCCTCAGGCTTCGGTTCCAGGTCCCCCTTTGTTCTCTGAAGCTGTTTTCCAGTGAGGCAGCAGCATAAACAAGCCAAAGGGCCTCTGGACGTGCCCACAGCAAGGCCCCTGTCTGGAGCTGACATCAGCGGTCTGCTTATTTTCTTAAGATGGCGTGACTCATCTTCCTTGCATAGGAGAGGAGGTCTCTGGGTGAAAAGTGAAGGTCCATCTTTTCAAGAACTGGGTAGCTGAGAGACCTCCAGGGCAGTGCTGTGGCCACGGAGGGAGAAGAGTGCTAGGGGCACACTCACTCTCCTCTAGCAAATCAAACCCTGCAGCCATTTTAAGTGACAGAAGAATTTAACTTTTGGCCAGAGTTTCAAAGAGATTATCTCTGCTGAAATCATCCGTGATGGAAGCCTGCCATAGAGAGAAATTCAGAGTTACTAACTTTTCTAAACATAGCAACTTCTTTTTAAATAGAAAATGAACACAATAAGAAAAATGGGCTTTCCACCAGGAACAGACCCCCCCCCCCCAGCCCCATCCCTTCCTGCTCTGTGCCCTGGGGCGGGGCAGGGGAGGCTCTCCTAAGACCTTAGCTGAGATGAGAACCAGGGAGCCCAGGTGCCTGCTTTCCTGATGAGGAGGGGTATCTCCTGGTGTGCTGGGCCACTCGCCCACGGCTGCCGTCCTGGTCCCCTTCTTCAGGGCCTCTGTGATGGACGGTGCAGGTTAGTCGGGAATCCATCCCTCCAGCGCTGCCTTCTCTCCTGGCCTGTCGCTGAGATGGTCTCCTCTCAAGACACGGCTGGACCAAGGTTTCCCAGTCGAGGACCTCGCGGTGCAGTGGGAGGGTGGCCGTGTCACTGGCTGCTGGTCCGGCTTCTGCTGGCTTTGAGAGGCAGAGCACCCTCCATCTGGAGTGCACGCTTTTTTGTTCTCCCTTCCCTCTCAGCTACATCATGTTTAATTTGAAGTCTGGGCTCCTTTGGCAAATTAGCAATTAGAGCGATTTTGTGGGGATATGTGTATGTGTCATTAGTTTCCCTGCAAATTAATAGCAAGGGTAGGGGTCAGCCGGGAATTTTCCACTCGACGGCAGGTCCTCCACGCAGACCTGGTTCTGGATTTTGGATGGCCACAGCTGCTTTCGCCACCCTCTTCCTCTAGGAACTGCCTTTTAATTAGTTTACCTCATAGCCATCATTACAAACATTACTGCCACCCCTCCTTGAAATAGAATTACTGTTTCTACAAAATATCCCAGTGACATCTTGCACCACCGCGCACCGATGGAGGGGTCGCCCGATGCAGCATTTAATCATTAGATCACCTCCATCCGCGTCTCCTAATTAGAGTCCTTACAATACATTTTTATCTGGTAATTAGCTGAGATTGGCTGCTTCCTCTGCGGCTTATTAGAGCCAGCCCAGCAGTGGGTGTGAATCACGGTGTCATTTGTCAAGCCTGGTAAACCCTCTCTGCTCCCTTCTGGCTCGCTGTTGATTTCCACTTGCTACCCACACTCAGAAGCATCCAGAAAATTCCACCTGTACCTCTTTCTTGGTGCGCTGAGCTAACCTGGAGGGATGTTGTTTCTCTTTGTTGCCCTCTGTGGTGGGATTGGTGCAGGTCTTAAGAGCTTTGCAGGAATCGAGTCCTTTTTGCATCTGGTGTCACTGTGTGGGGCTCCTCTACTTTTCTTGGATGTTAGCACCCAGAGGGTCGCGCCAAATGTTCATGAGGTTCGTGTTGGGTGGTTAAACTAGGAGAGAGGCTTGATGACCTTCCCGAGGGAGTCGGGAGGAGTGTGTATTTCCCAAGGACATTGGTTTTCTTGCTGTGTTTTAAGCAGTGTGATTAGAGTGATGGTCTTAACCTGAAACGTGAAGTGGAGAAGCAGAGTGAGTCAGAACTGCGAGTGTCTGGGCTATGGAAGCGCTCTGAGGCCAGCGGCTGTGCCTCCTTCCGCCTTGCAGGCGCTCAGAGATGTTCCCAGGCTTTCACTAGATCTTGTCAACATGGGCATTACAGGAAGCAATGTTTTCCCATCCACCAGATGCAGGAGGTTGTGCAGAGGGTCGAGAGCTGTATACATGTGTGGTTTCACTTTGGTCCAGGCCGGGAACATGGACAATTGAGGTTCTTTCCCTAGGCCTTGGTCTGCTTCTCTGTCACGTGTGAGTAACAGCACTGTGGGTCTTGACGGCAGTACGGGAACTCGGTGGAAGCACCCCAAATCAAACCTCAGTGGAACTCAGTGGAAGCACTGGGGACGGCTGTCTAAAGTGCGAGTTGCTCATGTGGCCAGGACCTTCCCGAGTCCCGGCTGAGCAGCGTCTGCGTGACAGAGATGTGTATCTGTGAGCTCTGTGCACTCCTGCCCTGGCCCGTGGCTTCCCCTGGCGTTTTGCATACCGCCTTGGCTGTGGTCAGTGGTGAAAGGCAGGGAGAGGTCAGGCTGAGTCCCTGATCCTGTGGCTGCCCTCTGCACTGTTAGCTCTGGTCTGTAAATGCGGGTTACAGTGTCACCATTCCGGCACCAGAGAGGGCAGCTGTTCTGCCCGTGCCCAGTGGCTGGGTGAGTAGCAGTGGTAGCCTGTTCTGCTCGGGCATTGGTGCAGGGGTGTCCTGTGGCTTGCTGAGTTGACAATCAGACAGACCAATAGCAGACACTGAGCTCAACCTTGCAGCTCCCAGCAGCGGGCCTGTATTTCCCGTTACTGTTTCTTTAACGATATCATGGGATCTTTGTTTGTTTCCCTTGGAACGCCCTGGACACATCAGATGGGGTTCTCAGGGTCTCGTTCATTACCAGCGTACGAGCAAAGGCTGGGTCTTCTGCACACTTGGGAACGCCCTTGGGATCCGCTCTATTAGCATCTCAGGGGAATCAGTTTTAGTACCTTTCACAGATAATCCTTGTGCCCAAGACTGACTGTACTCATGGTGAAATGGACTTGTGGTGGGTGAGCTGGAATCTGGCTCGAGTGTGGACCTGGGGGAGGCACTCTCTGAGCCAGCACCGCAAGAGGCTGGGGACCACCACGCTCTCTCGCATCGCGGGACTTCGCGTTTCTACCCCACCCAGGGTTTGTCACAGGTAGATGGGAGTAAAGGAAACAGAACAGGGTGGGTTCACTGCCCCCCCCCCCCCCCCACCACTACTTCCAAGTAAAATTCCCTTGGGAGTACACAACTTGAAGACAAATCTCTCCAGAAGTCCTGGGTCTCCTGGGCCGCCATCTTTTTCAATGAACAGATTCCAGCCCTGGGCTCCTTAGTTAGAAAGCTTTGTGCGCAGTGTTCACTGAAGGGGATTCTCTGCCGAGGCTGGGAAGCCAGGCGGCCTTCTGGACCTGTGCTCGGTGGTGGACTCGAGTGTCGTCCTGCTGGCCGGAGGACGGGTGTGAGCCTAAGAGCCCATTTAATTTAACTCAAAGCTAATCTGAAGAAAAGCACAGCTCTGCAGTTGTGCTGGGAGCTCAGGTCCATCCCACCTGGTGTGGTCCGCCAGGGCTGTGTTTCACCCTTTGACGGTCTCAAGGATTGACCAGGGTTGGCTTAGGTTGCTTGGCTGGGCCACCCTTTTTGAACCTGTGCATGATCACTTTCCAGCCTTGGGGATACACCTGGCTCCTGGCCGTTCACAAGCATCTCTGCGACAATAGTCACAGGAGCCCTCGAGTGAGCAGCGTCCCTCTAAATGGTCTTCTCCCCACAGCTCAATCTGGTGTCCAGCGTCACGCTCTCCAAGTCCGCCTCTGAGGCTTCTCCACAGAGCTTACCTCATACCCCCACGACCCCCACCGCTCCCCTGACTCCCGTCACCCAAGGCCCCTCCGTCATCACCACCACCAGCATGCACACGGTGGGACCCATCCGCAGGCGGTACTCGGACAAGTACAACGTGCCCATTTCTTCAGGTAAATACTCCATGTTGGCCTTGCTTGGGGTTGTCGCCTGCAATTCTTGCCGAGCGGCTCCTTTTTTAAAAAGTGATGATTAATAGGACAATGATTCTTATTTAGCAGATATTGCGCAGAACCAAGAATTTTATAAGAACGCAGAAGTTAGACCGCCATTTACGTATGCATCTTTAATTAGGCAGGTAAGTAAACAATGCAGCATGCGAAATCACATACAAAGGTGTGTGTGTACATGGATGTATTTATTGTATTGATGAAGTAGATTTAAAACCGTTTAGTATGCCACATGCTAAAACCTTTTCTATAAGGTTTTTAAAAACTGCAATATATAACATAATTGCTTTTGATTAAGTATTACAATACGATGTGATTATTAGGAAATTCATTTCACACAACAGTGAAAATGAGCCTGTTTAAAGATGGCAAGTCAATTATCACAAGCTACAGTAATCTCTGATCCCTGGAATTAATCTGAGCTCTAAATAATTACTGAGCTTTAATCAGCTAGTGAAATGTTTTGCATTTCTCTTTGATTCTGCTTTATGAATGACTAATAAATTAATATTTCTGTACGGAAACAGAAATAAAAACTCAAAACAATTAGATAATTCCATTTTGAGTTTTGCTATTGAACTGTTAAATACAACCATTAATCTTAGATCATTCCGTGAAACAAACCTTTCTTAGGCTCTGAATGTCAGTGATTTTATACTTTCAGGAACCTGGTTAGTGACAATTCTTGCTGATGTGGTCATAAATTACCTTCTTCCCGTAACTTTTGCTTCGCAGGCCATTCTCGAATCTCCAGAAAAGCAGCTCACGCTGAATGAAATCTATAACTGGTTCACGCGAATGTTTGCTTACTTCCGGCGCAACGCAGCCACGTGGAAGGTAAGCCTTCTCCGGGCCTAGAGCGCAGTGACTGGGCTACTGGAGAGTCGCAGAGCATCCGCTCTATAGGAATAGATGGTAAAAGGGTTGCTTTGTGGTCGAGGTGCTCAGATGGAAGGTTCCCATGACTCAGGCCGCACAGGTGTGAGTGGCCCTCCAGGGAGACCATCTGTCTCTGGTTGCCCCATGCGGACACTGCCAAAGGACTTACGCACACCTCCCTCTCTTAGGTGTTCAACCTCAGCCAGCATTTGCAGAGAGGCCGGGGCAACCTGTTTTTCCAACATGAGGATCCTACCTGCCTGGAGGTCAGGCAGCCCTAACCTCCATTGGTTAGGTCAAAGCTCACCAACCCAAGTACTTGCAAATGGTGCTGATTAGAGAGAAAGCACTGCTTTATGAAGCCGGTCTTGGGTAGCTCTGAAGGGAACAGACTGTCTCACACAGGGTCACGTTGTTCATAGGGACCCAAGGAAGAAGAGCAGCTTCTGAGGTGCATTATGACACCGTGTGTGGCACACATCAGCAATGCTTGGGGTCCATGGCTCACCCCCTCCCCTGTTGGTTCAGGGCTCCCATCGGGACATAGTCCCTCGTATTAGATTAGGCCCCCTTTTCAATTTCCTGGTGCCTGTTGCTCATAGAAGACAGCTAATACAGTCTAACAGGCATCTCTGTACCTGGAATCTCGTTGATCCCTGCAAAATAGACTGTTTGATGGAAACATTTTAGGATTTTTACATATCACTCGTCGAAACACGACGGGATTTATGGGTTGCAGGGAAAACTTGCTTTACTTGATATGTATCCCTTCCCCTCTGCTTTCTTGATTCTATATGGGAGGAAAGCAAAGCCAAACAATGTATCTTTGATAAATTAGCATTTTAAAAAAAAATCGTACAGTTAACTCATGACACTCGTGAGTGCCGAAGGGAACTTTTCGTTCAAAATCTTATCTTTCTTTCACTTGACTTGGGAGATAAAACACAAAGGATCTTGAGCCCCATATGCTTTTAAAAATTTAGGGAGTTAGAAGCATGAGGCAGACATTTTCTTCAAATTGCCTTTTATAAATTACCAAATGATGAAATTTAAAAACAGTTACCAGTCGTGAATATAAATTCAAGCTCAGATCTAACTTTTTCATTTTTGCAAAGTGCAGGGAGAGGTGTCATTGATACAGACAGCCCTAGATGAAGTACTTAATGCCTGAGATATGCAGACTGTTCCCTCTGTGAGCTCTGATGAAATGCCCAGATATCAGGTTAGGACCCAAGAGAGCGCTTTCTTTTTCGAAAACTCTCGGTTACTTGTTGCTCTCTGCCTCAGTGTTTGTGCGGTCCCGGAAAACGGGGCTTAGGTTCTGACTGGGTTGGGCAGTCAGGCGCACAGCAGCCTGTGATGTGGGTTGGTTTCCCATGCTCTTTTTTAAAGGGAATTTGGCTTCATGTATTTAGCGTCTCTTCCATGTTGTTTGAGGAGACTGCAGCAGACCGTCAGTGTCATGTGCTCGGTGGCACTTTACGTGCAAAGAAATTTTTCTCCCCCAGCCTAACTGCACCATGCCACGTGACTTCAGGGAGCTTTTAGGCAAACCTATCACGATTTTTTTGAATCAAGGATAGCCTTTGATAGTGTTAACCCTCACGCTAGTCAATACGTCTGGGAGTTTACCCTGTGGATGCTCCTTATGAGCAGGCCATGTCACCATCATCCCACAAAACAGCTTATTATATTCAACATATACCATATCAAAAATGATTCTGGCTTGAATTCACCGATTATGATCAGCAAGAAATTAAGGATCATTTGGAGAGCGCATTTTCCAGGTGGTGGGAACGATGGCCTTACCAGAACAAAGGGGCTTGGGAAGAGGGGCTCTGCCACCCCAGCTGAGCTACTTCCTCCATGACAGGGGTTGCTCGGTACTTACTCGGGCCCAGGAAGGGTCATGGCTCTTGAGTGGAGACCTGTGTGCACGGTACATTATACACATGCAAAGTCTCCATCAGAAATGACTCCTAACATGGGAAAGAAACCCTCATCTGCAGGCGTGTAGCCTTTCTCCCCTGACTTGATGGGCAGCTGCTCTCATTTACAGTGGGGAAAGTAAGGTGCTGCTCACCCCTGGGGTTTAGTTCACCTGATCCTCTTGGCCTTCAAGGTGATGCCTCAGTGGTAACAACCTATTAAGAATCTTCCCTCATCAACTTGTAGAGGCTCTGAGAAGGCAAAGCTGCCCTGGACTTCACAGCGTTTCATCATGTAAAGAGGATCGTTTCATGCTCAGAGTTTCTTATTTTGAAGTCACGGTGACACTATTAATCCAGAGCCACTTGTAGGGCCTGTTTGGGGCTCCTCCGCCTTTTCTGGTTGGATAGTGCCAGAGGGGAGACAGAAGTGCAGTTAAGCCAGTCTCCCTGGAGCACAGGAAGGACCTCCCGGGGTGGGCGGCAGCTGGGGAGTGGTGTTCCCGTGGGGACTGTGTGGCTGAATGTACTGTTTCTGGAGTCTTTTCTTACAGAAATTGTAAATGTTCTCTCTCTTATACCTGCTGCAGAATGCAGTGCGCCATAATCTTAGTCTTCACAAGTGTTTTGTGCGAGTAGAGAACGTTAAAGGGGCAGTGTGGACGGTGGATGAAGTAGAGTTCCAAAAGCGAAGGCCACAAAAGATCAGTGGGTACGTCCACCACGTTTGACTTCTGCGCCCAGCTCGGACTGTGCTAACTCGTGTGACGTAGAGGCTTTGGCTGCGAGACGCTGTCAGACCACAGAACTGGTTTCACGTTGTCTCAGTCAAGGGAAGCAAAAAAGCATTTCACCCTCCTGTCGTGTGCCCCCGCCAGCCCCGCCCTGCTTGCTGGTCTGTCGCATCCCATGCTAGCGTGTAGGTGCAGCGCATATTAACCCTCACGAGCCATTCGCCTATGCTTATCGCGTTTTATTTTCTTTCTCCTGTCCCCTGTACTGGATGTGTGTCCCCCCCGCCCCGTCCCCTTTCCGTGCCACTCCATCTCCTTTGCCGCTGCTCCTATCCCAGGGTGCCATTCGCACCAACCTGTCACTGCATAAGTGCTTTGTCAGAGTAGAGGATGAGTCTGGGTCCTTTTGGACAGTTGATGACGAAGAGTTTAAACGTGGCCGCCATAGTCAACGAGGCCGTCCTCGCAAGTACTGCCCCGCTGCAGACTCTGACGAGCTTGTCGCACAGTAAGAGCCTTTACTTGCTTTCCTTTTGTTTTCTGCTGTGGCTTTGGCTTTGCATGGTTGACCCATCCCATGGAGTCGTGCATTTCACCTCGTAGCAGTGCCGCAGCTTCCTGCCAGGGAACTGGCTTGTGTGATGCGTCCATGTCCTCTCGCTTCTCTGGATCGCCAGTGCCTTGAACAATGCTTTTTTGACGTCTTTGATGCAAATTATTAATTGTATTTTGACTCAGCAGCTGACTATGATTTATTTTTTGTGGGACCCATGATTTCTACAAGTAGAAAAGTCATTTAATGGGACAAATTTCTTATTTGCTTATCATAACGTAGATAGTAGCGAGCGTGGCGGGGACTTGATCAGGTGGCCCCTACCATGTTTCCTTTAAGGTGCGAACACGGACAGCTTCCTTTCCCCTCCGTGTGTGCCGTGTCATTTTTTAGTAGTTCTGGGAGAAAGTCCAGAGCTTTTCTTAAAGGAGTTCCTGGGCTTCCTGCTCACAGGCATAGCACCAGGCCCACACCCAGCTGTGCCACAGGCTTCTGCCCGGCCCCCGCAGGCATTGTCTGTAGGGCTTAGGTCCTTAGGATGCTTCAGAGTCCAACTCTGCCCAGGGCTTGCTTCCCAGCAACTAAAACTTTGCAGAGAGGTCTCGGGAGGGAGTCCCCACGTCTGGTAAGCCAGAATTTTATACCCCCTTGCCTTGAACGGCATAGGCTATCGCAAGAAGTATGTGCACAGCCCGGCTTTCCGAGTTGGTTGGTGGGGGAAGTTTCTAATTTGCAAGGCTACCAGCAAGCTTAAAACGGAGCTAGGAGCTCGGGGCTGGACTGCAGTTAACTCTGAGTCTCTGTTTTTCTCACGCAGTAACCCTTCCCTCATTAAAAACATGCAGAGCAGCCACGCCTACTGCACCCCTCTCAATGCGGCTTTACAGGTAAGATGGATGGCCCTCCCGAACACGCGGCTGAGGCACACGTCTCCCACACTCATTGCAAAATATATTAGCCTCGCTCTAATTAGATATTAAATTTTAATTCCGTTAAACTTTTTTCTTAAGTGCACAAAGCATTGTACTCCCTCGAGGCACACGCATCGGGCTGCTTCAGCATTAGCAGGATGCTTAGCATTTTGAATATTGTGGCAAAAAAATTAAAAGTTCACTTATTAATATTTATCAGCAGTATCATAATTTCCATCCTCTTATTTCAGAATTTCACTTGAGGCAAAAATACCACAAGTGTAATTACTCTAGCACAGCTATTAGTGTGCGGGATGATAGGCCACCGCATCACATGACCTTCTATTGTTCACGGGTTTGAAGAGAAAGCTGAGCTTTGTGTCCCTCCTCCTCCTGGACAGCCGCAGCATGCTCTCTGCTTTGCGGGGAGCATCCGGGTTTGTTTGGAGAGCAGCCTTGTCGAGGCTGGAGGCCCTACATCCTCCTCTTCACACGGTTCACACGGGATGCCTCTCTTTCCTTCATCCTTGGACGATGATGGAGGAGACCTTACGTACATCAGGTGGGCGTGAATATTGGGAGCCTGTCCCTCCTCCTTTCCACTAGCACCAGTTTTTCAACACAAGTAAAAAGAATAGTGGGACAGTATCATTTTTAAAAAATTACTAGAGCAACATAATGCATGGTATACAATTTACAAAATAGGACAGCAGAATCCACTACAGAAATAAAACATGGGACTCGGGACAGATTGCATTATGCTCTGAAAAAGGAAGTAACTAGGGGTAACGGTAAAGCTCGTATTTATAGATTGAGCCGCCCCGAGTGCCTGGGAGGCAGACGCCGGGTACTGATGGACTTGGGCACCATTGCTAAGCCCATCCACTCTTGTGGCAGAGGTGCCAGTTTCATAGGTAGGAACCTTTAAGTCTATATTACAAAAAAAAATTTGGACCCCAGCTCCCAAGGGGACATGAACTGCTGAAAAAAACCCTGAGGCAGGAGTCAAGTGTGTCTAACCTGGTGGGATGGTCAGAGGCTCAGCTCGCCTCTGCAGGTCTTGGAGCCCAGCACAATCAATGCTTACCATGGAGGGTGAGGCATTACTTCCAGGAGCACATTCTTGCAGCCATTTCAGTTTTGACTTTACTTCTGAGGCATCTTAGCTAGCACTGACCCTGCAACTGGGGATTCTCCAGACACTGGACTGCCGTGCTGTCTCACAGGGAGTGAAGAGGGGTATCCCGCTGCAGCTTGCAATGCTACTAGTAATTTTGCCCACTGCTCTGGCCCAAAAAGTCAACACGCTATATTGCAAGAGACCCGTTTGAATAAAAGTACTTAATGAAAATTACTTAACAATAGGACAGTGGGGAATGGGGATCACAATAAGTTTACCACACTAGGAAGGAAAACCAGCGTGTTCCCCCTCCTTTTTACCTACATTGAGAAGTGGAGGGCAGTGGGATGGGTGTGCCTGCGCTGCGAGTGCACCCCTACCACGCGCTCTCCGCCTCTGTGGTTGGCTCCTACCTTCTCAATGCCAGGATGTCCACCGGAGCCTGCACTCCTGCATGAGAGCTGCCATGCTGGATTGATTGTCTAGGATGGAAAGCCAGGCACGGGGCAGTCTGGATAAATCTTGGTGTAACTGCCAATTTTTCAGTCTGTCCCACCTTGAATAAAATGAAAAGCCACCCCCCAGTGAAACCAGTACAGGGACTTCAGTGCAGGGGACAGCATCCACCCCAGGGGTAGGGTAGCATTTTCCCATTTCTACTTTTTTTTCACTGACACTCATTTGGAGTGATTTTGTCACCTTTAATATTGGTTTTCATAGGCACCAAACATAAATGGGATTTAAAACTTCCTTTTGCCAGATATTGTTCTTTCATCCTAAAATCACAGGTGATTGGCGTGAGTCCAAAAGATGACTCCATGTTCCTTTAACCGGTTCTCAAATTTCACTAAACAGATTCAAAACCCATTAAAACAGGAATGGTGGGGGGGGGGGCTAAAAATTGATTCCAATTCTATAATCCCTTCCTTTTCTATAGGATCTAAGAGGTAAGTGTTTATGGAAGTCCTCATAAATTTGAGCGATGCAGCCAGAATAATCTGATCAGATCTCTGATATCCAATAGCGGAGTTATCAAAATGGATAAAGAAATGAAAATTCCATTATATTCCACTATGATCTGGAAATATTCAGTTTCTCTTGAAAAAAAGGCATCAGATATAAACCTCCCATTAGACAGCCCATGGCCACCGCAGCACTGGGTTGGGCAGGGCCAGGACTTCTTCCCCAGGGCCTCCCTTGGCGCGTGCCCCAGGCGCTATGGAAGCACAGCCCCCCACCTCTTTGACACCTGCGCTCCAGTTCCCTGGCAGCCATCTGCAGGGTGCCCCCGCCTGCATCTTCACGCGCGCTCTCTCATTGGTGGCAGGCTTCGATGGCGGAGAACAGCATACCTCTATACACTACCGCTTCCATGGGCAACCCCACCCTGGGCAACCTGGCCAGTGCCATGCGGGAGGAGCTCAACGGCGCCATGGAGCACACCAACAGCAACGAGAGCGACAGCAGTCCCGGACGGTCCCCTCTGCAAGCCGTGTGAGTACTGCCTGCCCCACACGCGGCTCCTCCTCTGGGCGCTGTGTACCTGTCCAACAGTGTCCGGAACCCAGGTAGACAACTGTGTTCCTAGAAGAGTTGCTGCCATCCCTGTAAACACGGTTGGCGCTGCACGCAGCAGTGCATGGGACACGTGGTGCGCATCTGGCCATCGGTTGAGACACGCTGTTCAGGTGTAGCCCTGGACCTAGCGGAGAGGAGAGAGGTGGTTTACTTGGTTGGGTGAGAACTGGAATGGCAAACTTGACGCCGCAGCCTTATTACCTAGCATTAATGATGGCACAAATGAAAGGCGGCATGATTTATAGATTGCTCTTAAAATATCAAAAGGAAAATTAATAGGAGCATTACAGCAGCAGACGGAGGGTAATGAGTGCACACACGACAGGGGAAGGGGCGGCCGGGGGCCACGCTGAATGGGAACGGCAACAGGCCCAAGCCACCCAGGGGCTCTGCTGTCCCCATGGGTGGGGGGCTGAGTGGGGAGAGTTCTAAACCAGAGAAACGAAACCACATGACTGCAGGTGGCTGGAGCTTCAGAATGACAGTCTCTCCCTTTCAGCGAGCTTCCTTTGTGGCCCACTTGAAGGGGACTCGATGTTGGCAGCATTCTGGTGGCTCCCAGAATGGGCCATCTGCCCCCACATCCATGAGTTACTGACCAATATTGTATTTTAAGATGGTTTGAGTGACAGGAGAAGTTGTGACCTGTAGCAGTTTAGCCACAGAAGGAACTGGCATCTAATGACCAGCGTCAGTGCCCTCTGCCATGGTAACTGCAGGACGTGGGGGTCAGAAATGTAGAGTCCTAGCGTTTGCATTTCGTGCCCAAAGTGCTCTGGCAAGGCTGGGCAGCAACAGGAGCAGCTCTTCCCACCCCCTGCGCAGTGTTTGAGGAACGTTGGTCCCTCACACGGACACTGCTGCACTTCACCCTTCTAGAGCAGCCTGCTGTTTGAGTCGATTGTTACCACACTGGTCTTCGTCTTTCAGTCATGACAGGAGGGTTTACGCAGATATTAAGAAATTCAGAGCAATTATAAATTGGCGTACAAGCTACCTCAAGAAATGCCCATTAGAACAAAAACTCTGTGCAGATGTTGAGAAACAGCAGGTTCAAACTCCAAGGTTTAGTTCATAAACATTCCTGTAACTCAGTGCAAAGAAAAAGAGATCTGATGACGCTTCCCGGGCTGGGTTGAGAATGGTGCTCCCCGTCATGCAAGATCAAGCAACTCCGAGTTAACCCCAGTACTACCAACAACCACTTTTCCCCAGTCAGCACAACTCTTGTGAAACGAAGGTTTCAACTGCTTGGAAACAATCCCAGATCTGTAGGAAGAGGTGTTGCTCAGATCTCGGGTGCCTGCGTTCGCTGGGTGTGCCTGAGTCAGCAGTAGGTCCTGTACCGTCCCTGCCCTGGGCACTCTGTGGGACCCTCTTGTTCCCATTAAGAGAATCCCATAGTGATGTGTTTACTCTTGCCCAGTGTGCATTTCCGTGCACTGAGGCGGATTGTTTTTTAAACTGTTCCAGTCTATTGGAATAAATCAAGTCATCAACTTTACGGCAAGGCTTAGAGGACCTTGTGGGGACAGCAGTCCAGCTGATGCCTGGTGTTGAAAGCAGTCATGTGGATGTAGGGCATTATACTCTTATCCTCAGAGGAAGTAAAGAAGTTGCAAAGCAGAATTGGGTTGTGCCATGTGTCCCCACCAGATCACAGTGCCTGAACCCCAGCCAGCCATGTCCCAGAGGGGAGGCACAAAGGAATTGCTCAGACGGAAGAGAAAGCCCAGGTTTGCACCTGCACTTCACCGTTCAATGGAAGAAGATGCTGAAGGTGCACACCAGCTCCAGAAGACACGCGGGCATGAGTGTGAGACCTGGGCCTTAGCGGCTGGGTACCTGGCAATCTCTACCTCTGCGTTTCTGTTCCAAGAGCGCTGTAGCCAGCGCCTGCCAGTTCCAAGAAGCCCTGTATCTAACCTGGTTGTGGTCAGGCCATCTCACAGTGGGTCTGATGGTTAACATTTGCCGCAGACCTGCTGTGTGTTACTCGGGTAGAACCAGCAGGGATGCCCTGTCTCTGGGGAAGTAAATGCTGAACTTGGGGGAAACTGTCTTCTCTGATTCTGTGAGCTGTTTTGTGGGGACCTTTCCTGTTTCTGGGTCTTTTTTTCTGTGGAAGTCTACAGCGACAAGGCAAGACCACCAGGAAGGCTCCCACGGTTCCTTTCCTCACTCCCCCAACCCAAAGTTTTCTATGACTTCATCAGATTCTGCTTTACAAACTCAAGAAGATTAATATCTCTGATACATTTTCCTACTGCGAGTCTTTTATGGTAAGTCTGGACAGTGACGTTTGCGGCACAGTACAGGGCTAACAAGCCTCGTCCAGCGGACGCTCCAAGGAGACGCGGTGTTGAGGAGGTCTCCACAGTGAAGATGTGGAACAGAAGCCTGCACTGTCGTCAGCGGCGTGCAGCTTGAGGGGGCCTGCGCTGGACCCCAGCCCACCACGCCGCAGACCAGCTTTTAAACATAATGCTCGATCCTGACGAGATGGAGTCTCGATGGGCTTAGCCCCTTTGGAAATTAATATCACAGTAAATCACAGGAGCCATAAAGATGTTTTAGCCTTTGCTCCAACAATTCCATTCTTAGAAATTTATCCCAAGGAGGTAAATCAGCAGAAGTAGAGAGATTGCATAAAAAAGTCACCATTTTTATCCATCAAACAGTTGACAGGGAGGGACTAGAGACGGCCTCAGGTAGCCTTAACAACCGTGGCTGAAAAGCTAGCCAAAGTCACAGCGCTCCTGCAGTGTCTGTGAGGCCCGAGCAGCCAAAATGGACCTTGAGTAGGGTCCAGCTAAGGACATCCATCAGTGTACTGGATTCTCGGCAGGAGAATACAGGGAATCCCACCAGGCAGACGCTTGGTTCACTGCCCTGAGTGTCGCTGGGAACCCTGCATTTTGCACATCATAGAGCAAGGCCTGGGTCCTACGCAGACAAAGAGGACTCCTAAAAAACAAGACACGTAAAATGCAGTATGGCAACACTTAAGCCTCGTTTCATTTTGGCAGTGGTCCTAAAGAATAGGGGCATGGTTTTTTAAAGCTCTTTATCTGACATCTTGCCCCCAACCTCTCTGTATGCCATGCTGATTTCAGAGCCGATTGATTCTGAAGTCTGCGTCTTCCAGGGCAGTCCCAAGCACGCCTCTGTTTGTTTTTAAATGGTTCTGGGGGCCTTTGTTGCACACAGCATCAATTATTTAGGGAGCCAACCATCCCAGCACCACCTCTCCTTACTAATACTTGATAACGTCAATTAAAACAAAAATCCTCCCTTCTGCAGCCAGTCCCAGAGACGGGAGTTTTTTTTTTTAACTTGAATGGTTCTTTTACATATCAAAAGCCCAGCAACAGAACATAATTTGTATTTGCAAAGGATCTGTTGTAAATATGATTTACGAACAACACTTCTCAATTGTTATCAGAGTGGCTTTGTGTGATCACCCCAGTCCCCTTCGGGTTAACCAAGCTCCGGTCCATAATGAGAAAGTTGGCAGATCTCATCGAGGCCCGGTGTCCCCGTGGCCGCTACCAGAAAGGCCGCGTGTTTCGCCTTGTTTATGGCTGACAGCACTACTCTGATTGTGGCCCGCTTCCTTATCGTACTGTTGTGTGGAGCGAGACTTCTCCTCTCCGTTTGTGTTTCCTGGCAGGGCTTTTCTTGCTTTATTGACAGTTTGTAAAAATATGCATTAATTTGGAGTTTCAAGCATGTATCATGGTGTCTCTGTGCTGTGTTTGCTTGAAGTTGATTAATGATAGGACCTTGCTTGGGGTCGTCCTCTGGAGAGTTCTTTCACAGGTTCTGCATGTTAACTAGCGAAGCAGAGCACACAGCAAGCCACGATTAGCCCCATCTCCTGCGCTCTGGTCCCCACAAACCATCGCTGTTACGGATTCCCATTTCAGGGAATGATTTGAATGGTGGTGTTCCCCCACCTCCACCCCGGGGCCCACGCGGGCCCATTGTCGGACACTCGGGCTGGGGGACATTAGAAATACAAAGTCTCAGGCCTGCCCCCAGACCACCTGACTCACTGCTACATTCTAATAAGGTCCTGGGGACTGAGAGTACCATAGAGCAGGACACAAGCCCCCGGTCCGAGACCAGCTGTGGCAGAGCGGCACCACAGAACGGCTTTCCACACGGTCCAACATGGGAGCTGCTGGCCACACGGGGCCCCTGAGCGGCAAAAAGCTCCCATGTGGGACAGTGTGGGGTCAGGGTGCGTCAGGCCCCACGTGCCCTCTGACCCTCTCTCTATTTCCCCAGGCATCCTGTGCACGTCAAAGAAGAGCCCCTCGATCCCGAGGAAGCTGAAGGGCCTCTGTCCTTGGTGACGACAGCCAACCACAGTCCAGATTTTGACCATGACAGAGATTATGAAGACGAACCGGTCAATGAGGACATGGAGTGAACACCTGGGGCGGGGCCAGCCCAAGAGGGAAGATCGGAGACGAGAAACAAAAACATGTCCAAAGTTTGCAGTGCAGTGGCTCTGCGTTGGCCTGGCCGAACAGGCTGGAGGAGCCTCACTACACTTTGGCAACTCTGAAACGTGTTAACTCTTAGTGCCATCAAGAATCCCATTTGGGAGTATTTTTGATTTTTCTACTTTTTGTTGAAAAAAGGAATTTGTACTCTGTGCGTTGGATGGACTCGTTTGGTACTTGGGATTTTCCTCTCTTCACAGTCAACATCAGTGTTGTAAATTTGCTAAACTGAGATTCACTTTTAGCAGCAGACTTTGAACTGCAGTCCTGCCGGCATTGGACACTGAGGACGCCGACTGAGCTTGCACACCTGAGCTGCAGACCACGCCTCTGCCAGGATCCAGGACTCCAGTGGACGGCCTGTTGCACAGTACCGCATGTTGATTATCACTGCCTTTACGCCTTTGGGTTTTTTGATTTTTTTTTTTTTTTTTTTTTTGCTTCCAGTTGGGATGGGGAAGGCCTTTGTGTGTGTATTGGGGGGCGGGGTTAAAATTATCCCAAACTTTTTAATGTATGGCTTTTTTTTTTCCTTCTACTTTACCATTTTAAGTTCTGACCTCAGGCCTCCACTTGGGCCCACGGCCTCTTGGAGGCTTAAAGTTTTCTGTACCTTGTGATGAATGTTGATAGGTATTTTTTATTACACAGAGCTGAATGTCATTTCTCGTTCGTAGTTTTCTGTCACTCATTCCATTTTCCTACAGACGCCACCACGTTTCTCTGAAGTCAGAAAACATTCCGTTTTGGTCTTTTTCCAAAAAGGTCCCAAATGCTGCAACTCTACACATGAAGGTCCCGTCACACAGATGGGACGTCCTGCCAGAAAGAGAATGAATGACAGAAAAAAAAAAAAAAAAATAGAGACACACTCAGAACAATGCAGACTCATTCCACAGAGCAGTATTGGGGTGGTGAGGGGTTGTTCAGAATTCCTTTTTTTTTTTTTTTTGAAAATAAGAAGCATCATTCTGAATAAATGCCACAGCACTGCACCAGCACAAGGACACAGGCAGGCACGGTGATGATTAGGCTGACCTCGTGGATGGGAATGGCTCTCCCTCCATGACCCCGTGGTCAGGGTCTGGGGCTCCTTGCTGGGATGACCACCGTGGGCTGCCTTGACTACAAAGTGACCAGAGGCCAGCTCCCCAAAGCAACTTTGTTGGAGGGGGGCAGTGTGGAGGCTGGATCATTGGAGCTGCCTGTTGGCACTATTCTGTTTAAATGCAAATTAGACTTCAGGTCGCTCTTGTTGAGGGCGTTAATGAGGACCGAGTTCAGCAAATGCCGAAGTGTGTGTCTGGGAGGTGCGCGGCTGGTGTGTCACTATCACTGTCCCCCAGTGTGGAAAGCTGACAGAAGACATCAGGTAGACCAGGCTCCTGCAGGCCCTGGGCTTCGGGGGAGCTGCACCGGGCGTTCACAGCGCCACGGCCTCGGTCCTCCAGCCCGGCCACACCTCCGTCTGCACCCATTTCCCTGACATGTATTTATCTAGAACTGTAGCTTTTGTTTTTAGTTTGAGAGCCTTTTGGAGCTTAATTTATATTCTTTGTACCTTTTATTTCTAAAATTACCAAAGATATTACACAAAGGTAAATTATGTTCTCTGTTTTATGCTTTATCTGATGAAGCCAAATATCCTCTTATTGTTGATCAAAGGAGGTGAAAGGATTTAGAAGCAAATGATAAAAGATACAGGCTATTGCTAACCTGAGAAAGTTGGCCATAGAGCAGATTTAGAAGACCAAGTAGGTAAAGGAACCAAAGTTGTTACTTTTTTCTAGTTTTTCTTTTTTTCTTCTTCTTGTACCTCTACAGAGACCAAAACTCATCTTTATTAAGAAAAATTATGGGGCTACTGAAGATGAAAATAGGGCACAGTATTATAGTTGCTACAGAAGGAACGAAGTCCCATCTCAAAGAGCTGTGAGCGTTGCCACCGGAAGTGAGCATGTCCAATAGAGGAGACAGTTAAGCTGAAAACCAGGAAGAACCGAAAAGCATCTGCAATTGAACCTAGACCACATGATATCATTTCTAGAATTTTTTTGTTGTTATTTAGTGAGATTACATGCCATTTTTGTTTATGAACTGTGCTGTGATGACTGCATTAATTTTGGTTTATTTTGGCATAGATCCTCCAATTTGTCTTTATGTTATTTATCTTTTTGGAATAGGCTTTGGACAACATTTTTCATTTACTAAAATGAAAAAAAAAAAAAAGTAACACTCCTGTCCACTCATAAGCTTGGTACAAAAACGTCTTTGGCAATGACCTTGGAAGCGTCACTCTGCTTTCTATTTGAAGGGCAGTCTGTGGTCCCTCACGGCTCCCCCACTTCTCCAGGCAGCTTCGTGATGTGCAGGCAGTAGCCGGGGGGTCCCGGGAAGGGCCCCGTGCTTCTAAACGGAGTGGTTGCTGGTTAGTGTGGTATTCAAAAGAGGATAAAAATCTGGTAGATTAGCTCATTCTCAGCATGTGTAGCTAGACACGAGTAACGGTAACAGCATGAGAGACTGTTAGTACGCATACCTCAGTCCAAACCTTAGGAATGATGAAAACTTAAAAATACATTTCACTCAGTTGCACCTAGTTGTATGTCTTGCATGCTTAGTCTAAAGACTGTAGCAAAAAAAAGAAAAAAAAAGAAAAATTAGATTTTACATATCTTTGCAGGTATCATAGCCTTGCAGAAGAACCAACTGAAAAAGCAATTCTCAGGCTTCACAGCAAGCAAATGTCACTATGATTTCTACAGTTCAAATTCTGTATCCCATGGGGGTTCCGGTCGCTTCCTTAGGATGGGGCTTATTATGTTGTACATAAATCCCAATGTGTCTGTGTGAATCTTTGTCTTTTCTGGGGGAGGGCAGAGGGCGGTTCTTTTTTTAGATATTGTTCCTAAAAAGGAATAAATGCATACACCTGTTTGTCAAAACACCTTTGCTTTTTGTGCAACTGCTTTATATTAACAACAGAAACATCTTTGGGAAAAAACAAAAAACCTGCTGTATGTAATGGAATTGCAGAACATGCTGTACTTCCTTTGCTTTGAGAATATTGGATGACGTTTTCTGACGTGGGAGGGAGAAACTTTTTTTTTTTTTTTTTTTTGCTTTTGAATTGTAACATAGTTGATGAATTTTTTTTCCCCGTTATCATCGATTGGAGCATTTTGTACAGGTTTGTGTGTGCGTGGGTGCGTGTTTTAATCTGTTTTTTAATACATTCCTGTCCCTTGTGTTTTATCCTGCCACTGCCTTCCTGGCTGTCTTAAAACAAGTTCATACATTTGAAAAAAGAAAAAAAAATGTTGTTTAAAAATGTTTTCTCCTGCTGCAGTAAATATTTTGCATGATGAAATTCTAGGGTCACACTTTCAAAGTTTATCAGTGAAGTAGTGATTCATATTGGGGAGTGTTGGAAATATTTGAAGTTTTGTATAAAAAAAAAAAAAAAACTTTACAAGGTGCCAAGATGTAAAGACAGTTTGTTACTTTTTTTTTTTTCCTCTCCTCAGAGAAAGGCATACATTAGGGAGGGGGTCCCATGTGTCAGACTAAGGCAGTGTCAGGAATGCGGACTCACCCTACCTGTCCCTAGAGTCTGTCCCTGTAAGACGAGCGAGGCTGCCAGGCTGGACCAGCAAAGAAAAGAAACAGGTTATGCACTAAGAGTGACCGCCGACCCCGTCCCCTTCCAGCTGTCCTAAAAGGATGCTCCCAGTGTCCCCTCAGACCTAATAAAGAAAATCATGGATTCTTAACCTAAAATGTGACGTAAATCACTAGATCTTTTCTTTTTTAAATCATAAAAACAAGGCGACTTCATGCATATCTGCCCCTTTCCCACCCATCCCAGCTGAGCTGCCTGCAGGGCTCACGCGGCAGTGCTCATGACCACCCTCGATCTGTGCGGTGCCTTTGGGTTCCTGGCATCCCCTCCGGACGTTCTGAATGTTTTGCAAGTCGATTTCACCCTTGTATCCAGAGGAGGAGGTCTACAGCCCTCCAGGCGTCCCGTGGGCCTGGCAGCTCATGCCACCCTGCTCCCTGCGGGCGGCCGTGGTGGCCACAGCGCGGTCCGGACATGAGCGTGGTGCTCCATGTGTTCGTGCTGCCAGTAACTAGAGCTGCTTTGTTTTGTTTTGATAAGGCATAAAAGAAACTCATTCCTTGACATCAACTGTAATTCCATCATTCCATGTCTGTGGCTACAGACAATAAAAAAAATGTGGTGTAGTCAGTACTGACGACTGACACGATAGCGTTCTCAAATGCAATAAAGACGCTGGTTGTTCACACTGGTGCTCAACGTTGCCCCGGCCTACTTTGTTCCCCGACCCCTGGTGCTGAGTGCGAGGCACAGGCTGGGGCTCCTCAGCCAGCTGCCTCAGAGCCGAGTCACCATCGGGCTTGGGCTTCTCGACAAGCTGCACCACCAGTCGAGCAGAAGCCCTTTCCGAGGATGAGATTTCCAAGGAAAGCATGCACTGGGAGGATTGGGAAGGAGCGCCGACGAGGGCTGTCTCCTGAGGAAGCACACTCCTATTTCTCTTCATCAAATTTTATAAAGAAAAACAAAATGTTTAATAACTAGCATTAAGAGCAAACTAAAATTTCAGAGGAAAGCAATTTCATGAATAATTCATTAAAATTTCACATCTGCAAGATTAGTCATCCAAATAAAATGCTAATGTCAAAAACATGCACCGTCTATAATATTCTCATCAAGAAATCTTTTTGCATATAATGATAAATGCTTAGATTAGAACAAATGATTCTATAAAAATATTCTATCCAAAGTGCGCTGGATAGCCGTGTTCGGTGCAGAAAACAACTCAGGAACCAAAATGTCCCAGAAAAACTACCTGATTTTTTTGTCATTTTAAAAAAATTCAGTATGTTTAAAAATTGTGCAGTTTCTCTTTAGTGTCATTCTCTCATGTATGTATGGGAAGGAATAATGAATCCCAGAATCGTCTTCCAGCACAGATTAAATTGCCAGTACATTGAAAACGGGCGCTTGAAGCAGCCACGCCGTCAGAACACAGAACCTATAACGTGTGGTTTCGAGCACATGAAACGACTCGCATCGTTGCCGTATCAGTGTGGTGAAGCGCCCACAGATGCTGGCAGACAGTGTTCTTGCCCAGCATTGTTCTGAGAAGCCCGAAGGAAAGTTCTGAATGCTTTTTTTTTTTTTTTTTTTAAACAAGTAGAATTTGCTGCTAGGTTGCAGGTGAACATCCTCCCTTCACTGACAGTTACGCCACACTCTGGAAACCTCTAGTGCAGTGACTCGCAGGACACCTGAACCTCTCCTGGCTTCTGAGAACACAGTACCAGGGTCCCCTGAAATCCCGTAAGTTGTAGGCTTAAGCACAGATGCTCCCACAGCGCATGCCCACGCTTGGTCCTCTGCACATACACAGAAGGACCCAGACCCCTGAGAGGACGCATTGGTGAGGCTAGCCGGGGACACCCTGTGCTTTCCTGGTGTTTCAGGACCGACCTGAAGCAGGAACTCTGGCACACTCCAGACTTGCCACTCCAATAAACAAGGCGGCAGACCCCAGAATTGATTCCTCTTTTAAATGGGGAACCTTATATATAAACAGTATGTCTCTGAAGGCTAATTTTACACAACGCAAGCAGTTTTCTAAAACTGTAGTCCCCCACCAAAAAAGATATGTCTTGATTATATTACATATGTATATACAGACTAGCAATCACAATTCATATTTTCATTGTGGTTAAGTCAAAAGTATTCTTTATTCAAATACAGTGAACTTTGTCTCAATCCTTAAGGTACTGATTGATGAAAGGTCTAACAGAGAATTCACACTGGAGAGAAATTAAATACAAAAACACTGTTTTAACTCTGGAACAATATTTGGATTAGAGAACCATCACTTTATATATGACCTAATTATTTATTTTTAACCAGTATTTTATTTAAAAAAAACCGTATGTCATCATATTTCCACTAGTTATAAAGTCACATTCGGTGCTGAATATCAAGACATATATATTCACCCAATGTTATCAATAGCCTTTTGTTGGTGTGCGGGGGGGAGGGGATATACCAAGAATATAGGGAGGGAAAGACACGATTCAAGTTATAATGTGAAGGTAACCGGCCTTTCAAGAATTAATTTCAGCCAAAGCAATAATCATTATTTACCAGCGTGTGACATTTTTATCACTCATCATATTAGCAAATTTCCATTGAAAATGCTAAAATGGTTCGTCATAAGGCAGATAACTGCTCGAGCTGTAAAAATGACCAACACAAGTGCCGGTACTCAAACATTAAATTATACTGTAATTAATAAAGACAGTTAAACTGTCTACCAGCAACAGCAATTTAGGTAACCACATTTGATCAGCTATAAATTCTAACTACATTAAAATTCCAGAAATATTAGCAATATGGATCACTTGATGGAAGTCAGTGCTGATCACCAATGCTCTTTTTAAAAAAAAAAAAAAAAAAACGGAAGCACAGGTCGCGTTGACCACAAATCCGTGGGCCAACATCAGGCCTTGGCACTTTTAATCTTGTGAAACAAGCAATTACAAATAGTTGCATCGATTTGTTAAAAAGCTTTAGGTGACATAAATTGTTTCCTGTTTGCTCTGATACATAAATGTCACCAAGTCCAGTATTAATTAGGGCCATAGAACAACACGGGGTGGCGGTGTGGCCTCTGATCAAGAATGTGTCATTCCCTTTGTGAAGGTTCTCGGGTGGCTCCACCTCCCGCTTGCCACAGTGGGCAGGAGAGGAGAGCAGAGCTGCTTCCCCCTGTGAGGCCCTTCGCACAGCTGGATTTGGAGCCCTGAACTACTCCAGGATTGCAGACTGGCTATGTTGGCCATTTGACATGAACCTCCGCATTTTTAAAATATCTTCTAAATAGAATAATATTTACAAGGCATTTGAGCCTCTGAAAAGCCAACACATTTTGCCCTTGTCAGTATTTGGTGCTATATGGGTTTCCTCTGGTTTATGTTTCTTAAAATGCAATTTCAAATGGCTATTGACTTAACGTAAATCAAACGTATCGTATGTACTTTCTTGGGGTTGGCATGCCACTTAGAAAAGTCTGAGATTCTGGGAGGAAAAAAGCCTGGAGAAAATTTATTAAATAGAAGTTTTTACTGTAATAGAATATTAACGTAAGTCGGTGCTCATTTGCCATTAAGCTGATCCTTTTTAAACATACACATGCTTTCTATTATTTTGCACTCAAGCAAAAATTCCACAAAGACTTTCCATCTAGCTGGGAATGTCTCTGGCAAGACACATGTCAAGAAAACCTGAACTCCAGAAAGAGTGGGCATCATCCGCACTGAGTGCTGGCCCACTTGGCCATGGTCGCAGACCACACCCGAAACAAGGCCAGCGCTGGTCAATAGTGTGGCAGAGGCAGAAACAATTACCCTTTAAATCCTTCCTGGCTGCTGCTCCATCAGCACACAGATGAAAATGTTTGATTTGCAACATAAAAGATTCATTAATTACCACTTGAATATTTAAAGCTATTTTGCAGTCTAACAGAGATAGATAAAGCAATGAATTAAAACCTCTAATAAAATTGTAAAAATATTTCGGTAAGTTTACCCGTGTTATGATTTAGGAAGAGATTCAAGCATTCTCACAGAATAAAGTCTTAGCAATTTTCAAGTGTGCATTTGAAAGAAGGAGCTAAGTGTTCCGGGAATAATTTGTTTCTCACTTTCAAATGTTTACTAATAATTTACTTTTGACTCAGGCTTGTTGCCTTAGGACTCCACAGATGAAAAAAAAAAATCTAGAGAGCAGGTCTCTGCATCAGGTATCTAATCCAGAAATTAAAATTCTATCAAAAGTATGGCATAGCGCCCTTCCACCCACCTGGCCGCCGATTTGTCCGTGTCTGACTCACTCAAGTGGTGCAGTGCCAGGATCTGGGGACCCTTGAAGCAGAGCATCCCAAGCCCACTCTGATATCAAATGCTAGCAAATTGGAACACAAGACCCTTCCCAGACCATAGGCAGGGCGCCCCCGGCAGCTGGCTTCCTTTCCCTGGTGCTCTGCTTCCTCTGTTAATTCAGGACATTTAAATGATGAAAAGAGTTCCTTCTTATTTTACAGTTCTAAAATTTTAATAACATATTCCCCCTTGAGGGTTTTCCTGATGAGATCCTTGGCACAAGCGTGTTTGTGTGACAGTGCATATTGCAAAGATATTGTAGGGTTGTCTTACCAGACCCTACCTTGTACCTTGCTGTCAGAATTCCATTCCCCCAGCATGCAATGCACGCTGCACCTGGCCATCCCTGCATTGCTCAGGGCTGAATGACCTGCTCAGCCCAACCTGGGAAGGCCAGCTGAGAGACACAGCCCTGGAAGTTTGTAAACACATGGTTGTGTTGCGATACTGTCCATGCCAGGGGGAGGACAGCTGAGGAAGGCCCCTCAGTCCACCTGGGACAGTCAGTAGACCTCCCAGAGAGCGCACTGTTGAACTGAAACCCACAGGTGCCCAAGTGTCCACCAGCCAGGCAGAGGCGGTGCCAGAGCTGAGGGCAGAGTGCACAGAACTCTGGCAGGGCCTGGGTGCATGTGGGAGGGGACTTCAGAGCTGAGGCTAGCAAGGAAGTCTTAGACTCTGAGTACAGCCACTCTTGCAGTTACCAACCACAGGCCATGCCAAGTGAGTCATCGTGAACAACACCAGGTACGTCACACAGTCGAGCTAGGTCATTCCTCAGTGGCCCTAGGAAATCGAGTCACAGCAAGGCCAGCATGCATGCCCTGCCCCTCTCCGTCACTCTGGCTGGCTTGCGTGCTGAGTGTCTGCACTGCACTCTGCCCTGGGGCTCGGGAGCTGCTCTCCCTAAGCTCTCTCCCTGGTGCTCCTGGTGGCTCACATCCTCCGAGTCTTTGCTCCTTTCCTACCTCTCCAACTGCAAGGGACGAGACCTTGCCCTTGTGGCTCACAACTGTCTCCCCAGAATGAGGACCAGGAATCCCTGCTTAGGTTTGTTGAGGGAATGAACACACATCACGGCTAGCCATGCAATCTGCAATCTGAAACCCTGCAGTAGACCTGGGAGCCTGTCCACCATTCCATGGAGCTCTGCGGCCACCCAAACCAAACACCTTTCCAACCTTCTACTACTGAACCTGCAAGATAGGCAAGGTCACCAGCATTGCCAGATGAGGACGCTGGGGCCTCCTAAGCAACACACGTTGCACAGAGCAGGTCTGGAGATGTGCTCTTGTTCTTTATGGCTCATTCTAGAAGCACATCTAT